TCGCTTTTAGTCTACATTTATCTGCTTTATGTCCTATTTTCCCACATTTCCAGCAAATAATTTTCTTTTTATTATATTTTTTACTTTTCTTTTTCTCATAATAAGATTCTTTATTAGATTTTTTATATTTTCTCCTTTTTATTTTTCTTTCTATATGCTGAGGGGGATTCTATTTTCTTAATTTCAAAAGCTTCGCAAATTGATCCTTCTTCTTTTATTTTTGAACCATACTTAATTTGGAGTTTTAATTCTGAACATAAAATTAGACCTTCTTTTTTAACAAAAGCAAATAATTGCCCAAAAGTAATATTTTCAAATGAAATAACTTCAGTTCCCATTTCTTTTTGTAAATTATCCATTATTTTTTATGAAAATAAACTTGGTAATGCTGTTATAAATTTTTCTTTCCAAAATGAAGCATTGCAGTCTGGTCTTCTTAATACATTAGTCAAAAATATATCTTTATACCATCTAAAATCTGACAACGTTGGACATCTTAAATTTGTTAAAAAGGTTTTGTTTGCATTTAATTCTTCCTTTGGATTTCCTACAAAATACATTACTATTGTTACAATTAAAAATTTTGCAGCATCTGACTGTACTTGAATATTTCCTTGGTCATCTTCTATTTCTATTGTATGACCTAATATTGATAATTATCGTGAAGAGTTAAGGCATTATCCCACCAATTTTTTAATTGTCCTGTAAAACCAGAAACTAATAAGGTTGCAATGTTTCTTTCTTAAATACTTTTTAGCTTATATGCTAATCTAGTCATTCCCATTTCTTGCAAAGTATTTAATACTTCGTATTCTGCTCTTCCATCTATATTCCATTTGTATATTGAATCTCCATCATATTTTGTAGTATGAAATTTCGATCTTTCTTCATATTGTATATCAGGGGGGTTGGGTCTAGGATAATAATTTCTTGTGCTTACTAGTTGCCAATCTTTTCTGTTTTTAAAATTTTTTCTTCGTTTTATTCTATTTATTTGATTACCTTCTTTTTCATTAATTGTTTTTCTATAGAAGTAACTATATCTGTTTCTTCTTCTGAATAACTTGATTCTTCTTATGTATTTTTTTTAATCAAAACTAAGATTTTATTGGCAAAACAACAACGTACATAAAGCATCAGACATCATCTAGGTCCAGAACTAGCCAAAGGAGAGCTACTACCCTATAGACTGCCACCGCAGGGAAGTGAATTCCCGATTGTCTAAGACTACTGATGCTCGCACTAGATTCGGGAGTTGTTGAAACGAAGTGCAGAATAACTCTGATGATAATCGCAATCCCGCGAGTTCATCTGCTGAAGAGTTCGCCTCCCTGAAAACGTGTGTTACAGAAGCCGAAAATGAGAAAAGCAGCGCTCTTATGTGTCGCAACGTATTGCAAAGGGACCACCGAGATGTCGCTCCCGCATTAATTAGACTGACCAGGCTTTTAGAGTCTACCTCCACCAGCAGGGGTCCCCTAACTAGATCCTTACACAGGTGAAAACCATGTAGCAAAGATGAACTCTCTACCCTCAAGACATCTGTGAGAACCCGACATTTTCTAATTTTCTAGGCTTTATTTTATTTAATTGCATGCCTTTTCTACATTTTTGTTATTAGGAAATTTTCTAGATAAATTTTATGAGTAAATATAGTTTTTAAATTATTTTTCTAGTATCCGTTAGTTTTTGAGAAATTAAGAGTGAATACCGAATGTGAGACCCGCTAGTGCAGTAAGTGCGGTAAAATTCGGTCAATTAGGTTAAGTTTTGTATATCGGGAGTAATTTACTAGGTGCTAAGAGATAATTAGAGGTTTCCTAGATGGATTAGTATAGGAGAGACAAAAAGATAATTATCAACCAAAAAGGTGATAAGTGTCACCTTGTGATTTAATCTTGCACTTTGACCACTATTCATGCACTTTACTAATATCCCAAAATTGATAAAAAATCTTCATTTTCTTCACTCTTGTGGCCGACTCTCTCAAGAAGGAAAAGAAAGGAAACCTTCAACTCTCTTGCTCTCAATCTTGCTCAATATTCCAATTCAACCGATCAAACTTGAAATTACTCCATAAAACCCCCTTAACTAAGTAGTATTGAGGTAGTTAGTGGATTGGAAAGGAGAAGTGCTAAGTTGTCTCTTTCCTTGAGTTGGTAAGGTGAGTAGCTAAGGAATGCTTTCTTTGGTCTTGTTAATGTTGAATTAGTGATTTGTGTTAGTTAAAGAGGTGATTTTGTGGGTTATTTCATGACTTTTAGTAGCGATTGATGAATTTTTATTTTTATTCATAATTTTTCTATTTTTATATGTTTAATCTTAGTTGGCCATGGATGATGGCTTGGTATGGTTTAGAATGAACTTATGGAGTGTTAATTGTAGCTATTTGCGAAAATTTTCAGTTTTGTGCGAAAATTTCAGCTTTAGGGTTCCGATTTTCCCTGTTCTGTCCGGCTTTATTTGAGCATGTTAGAGGCCGAATTAGGCTTAGAATAAAACATAAAAGTTGTAGAAAATGATGTTAACTAGCTGCTTGCAAAATTTCAGCTCAATCGGAGCAGGGTATCTTGTGAAATGACAAAATTGCCCCTGCTGCCCTGTTTCTGTCAAAAATGATGATCAGCCTCTGTAAGTGGTTAGTTTGACCAGGAATATAACCGAATTGGTTGTCAATGTCTTCTTAAGAATTATAGACTTGTATCTTATCTTTCAGATGGCTTTGGAATTACCTAAATCGGAGTTGTGTGTGCTGAGATATGATTGAATGAATCAGGACTGCTAGTTGAATTTCACAATGAGCTTCGAACTGGAAAATCTGGGGTTGTTTTGATAAATTTGACCTAGTTAGGGTGAGAACTGGACTAAGTAGTCTTCATCAAAGTTATAACCCTCTGTCTTAGCTTTGAAACGGTATAACTTGCACTTCAATCCAATAAGTGTAGTTTCGGTTATGTCCGATATGCTAAGTAGCAGTGAATCTGCCTTTTTGGTTTCTTAGCTTAAAGCTCATTTGCGGTCATTTTCCTAGCTAAATCTTGTACTTGAATGACTTTGAGCCTATTGAATGGCTGTTGTAGTGAATTTATATTGTGTACGACTTAGGGATTGATTGAGGAAAATAATGAAGCCATAAATGGCTGGAAAATAGGTAAATACAAAGGGCGTGCTGCCCAAATTTACACTCGAGAATTAGGTAACGATTTGAGAGCGAATACCATATGAACCATCTAGGATATTTGTGCCCTCTTTTATCAAGGTATATAAGTTCGAATCAGACCGAAACTTGTACACTTGAAAAAATAAAATTTACGACTAATAGAAATACGTTTTCTTCATTTCTTCGACTCAAATGGATATTTCAAAGTTTTAGGAGCGAGCATAAGTTTTCCAAATATTTTACTCATGTCCTTTGGTTTAAATGTACTCTTTTCACTTTCAAAATCATATTTATACTTTATACTAGTAGTATTTGAATTGTCTTCGATTCACCTAACTTTTGCTGGAGGAACTGTAATATTTTCTCCTGATTAATCTTAGGGTTCATCGATGATTGAGAATGTTACCCGGAAAGATATTCTGGACGTTATTTTGCCTTCATAGGTGAGTGTACCACTCCCCTGAATTGTTGTTTACTCGGTTCATCTATACTTGAAATGTGTGACATGGATAACTATGAACTGTGTTATTCTGAATGAGACGAGGGTGTACTTTATCACACTCGTTCTCTTGCCTGTACTGAATGAACTGGAATCTATTACTTGTTATTTGTACTTGTTATGTACTTGAATTTGTTACTTGCACTTGTTATGAGATCGTTTGGAAGTGTGTCCAATGATCTTCCTGTTAAACTTGAGCTCAACCTCATGGGGAGTTAATTAAATCGAGCCAGCAAGGGCTTGGTCGAGGTAATTGACAATCCATGGGTACCTGTTCCTGGGGAATCTTTGGGTATTGAGACTCTTGATTCCGGTATACTCGAGTATTACCATTACTGTTCCTGTTCGATGTTCGGGTCCGGTAAGGGGTATGTTTGGTGAACGGGATTTTGGCGTAAGAGGGATCTACGGACACGAGTGTGTTATTAAACGTTGACGGAGAGTTAACGAGACTGGATCAAGTATTGCAACGGGGATTTGGCTCCTGAGGGCCACCTATATCCTTTAAATTGTGGTGTTCGTTTATTTCTCTTACTTGATGTGTATATGTGCCCTAAAAGTGTTTTCTCATGATTTCCACTGTTATACTTTTGGTACCTCATTAAGCTTCTAGTTCACCCCGTTCCATTATCCTTGTTTTCCTTACAGGGAACCACTTTTGAAACTGTGATTTTGAAGCATGAATCGAGCTAGTTTAGATATTTTGTATAGCTCCTCAATGGTTGGAAACCCTAATTGCACTTGGATTCTAATGTTCCCTTTTGATTTGTAAAAAAATGAATGTGGTTTAGATAAGCGTGTATTCATGTTCATGTGTTATATTTGGTTTGTATAAGTCCATTTCAAGGATTATATGAAGTTACTTGTATTCGATTGGGTCCTGGTCGGATTGTGACGTGGCCGGCGCTATTCACTTTCCGTTTCGATTTTCGTTTTTTTGTTTCGTAATTTTTGCTTCGTTTGAGCGCGCTAATACCTTCCGGAACATTTTAGACTGTACGTAACCGTGCTAGTAGTCCTGGCGAGAGTTGGGCAGACAGTCCGCTAACCCCTTTGGTACGCCTTAGGGGAAGGTGGGGCTGTCACAACATCCATCTCCCCAAATTCCTTGTAAAAAGCAAAGATTAAGCGGCCTTCAGAGTCTCGGAGTAAACCACCCCCAAAAGCTCGCTTGTGAAAGACACTAGCGTCCATATTCAACTTGACATGATGCGCCGGAGGGCGTTTCCAAGACACTGCATGTGCGTGTTTCCTCCTCGCCAATCGGGTGCTCAACCGTGCCCAAGGGTCTCTCGCATCTCCCCTAAAATGGTCCGCAGAGAGTATCTTTGCCACTCCCAGCTATTGCACAAATCCGTCAACCAAAGCAATAACCCTACAAGCCGCAAACGTCGCCCCCTCGAAGAGCGCCTTGTTCATGGACTTCCATAGGAACCACAGAATTACTAGCGGGACCACAGTCCTTATGTGGTCCCGTGTAACCAGTGAAGTTGAGCTAAACCAAGACAAAACCATCCCAGACACCGAAGAGGAGTGGGAATCAATAATTCCAAACCTCTGTCGAAAAGCGCTCCATACCTCTATTGCTATTGGGCCTGTCATGAAGAGGTGAACAAGTGATTCTTTCGGCGAGTGGCAACATAAGCAACATGATGCCATGGGGACTCCCCGACACTTCAGGGTCGCATCCAGGGGAACCAGATTACGCATCACCTTCCATGCAAAGAAAGACAGCTTCAATGGCACTAAGCTGGTCCAAGTGAAATCGTCCACTAGTGAGGTGTTGCATTTCAATCGAATGCTCTCCCGAGCAGCCTTGGTTGAGAACTCCCCCGAGGCGAGCGCACCTAAACCATACGATCGTGTTGTTCTGGGAACACTTGAATTTTCTGAATCTGACTAACCAGATAAGCAGGCACCCAGTGCCTCAGCTTCTCTATATTACAGCCCCTGTCATCAAAGAACTCCGCGAGCAGCATGTGGGGTGGGTCATTAATGGAGAGCAAGTCCACCAGAAGGACCTCAAAGACTTTTTCCACACACCATCTGATGTTACTCTCTGCTGCCCTTCGAATTCCCTCCAACCGCCTCCATGAAGGGGAAGGTCTAGCTACCTGAGCTTGGAACGGGTGTGTACCCCTAACATATTTGGCGTGCATAAAAGCAGCCCATAATGAATCGTTTTTCTGCAACCGCCACTAGAGCTTGCAAACAAAGGTTGAGCACATGTCCTCCTAGGAGCGAAAACCCAACCCGCCTTCAGCCATTGGATAGCAGACCTTTTCCCAAGACGTCCAATGAATGCCTTTGGAGTCAGTATTTTTATCCCATAAAAAGGCCTTACATACCTTTTCCAGCTTTAGCAAAACTGCCCGGGGAGGATCCAACACTTGCAGCAAGTACATAGCCATTGAGGTAAGAACATGCCTCAGTAACACTAATTTACCTCCTGACGATAGTAACCGTGAGCTCCAGTGGAACAGGCGGCCTTGCATTCTAGCCACCAGGGAATCAAATAGAATGCACGTCGTTCTGCCTTTGAAAATGGGGACCCCCAAATACGTGAACGAAAGGTACTGCTGATGGAACTGCAACATCGAGGCCACCCTTGCCCCATGTTCAGCGGACGCTCGAGCCGACAAGATGAAACAGTTTTTATGGGTATTAATTTTCTGATCCCAAAAAGCCTGGTAGGAGTCGAAGAACAACTTCGAGGAGGCCAACCCACCCTCGGAGCAGCAAGTGAAGATCAAGATGTCATCCGCAAATGCCAAGTAAGGGATACGCAGCCCAGAGAAGACAAAGAAACGACTCTCATCTTGACAAAATAAATGATGCAGTCCTCGGCCCAAGAATTCTGCCACCAGTAGAAATAAAGCCGGGGAGAGCGGGTCGCCTTGGCGAACCCCTCTTGAGGATTTAAAGAATCCCACTGGAGAGCCATTGATTACACCGAGAACCAATTTTTTGACAATTTTCAGAAGAGCAGATCCACCACCCACTCGTGAAACCCAAATTTTCAGAGCATAAAGATAAGAAAGCTCCATTCAACCCTGTCAGACGCCTTCTCCATATCCAGCTTCAGTATCAAGTTCAGGCATCATAACTTCCTATCAATATCCATTGCCAGTTCCTGTGCTACGAGGATGTTGTCTGCAATACCCCTGGCCGCAACAAAACCTGCCTACCATGGCAAGATCAGTTTAGGAAGCATATGATTGAGTCGGTTCGTTAGAACTTTGGAAATAATTTTGGAGCTTAGGTTACACAGGCTGATAGGTATAAACTCTTGCCATTTAGTCACTCCCGGTACCTTTGGGATTAGCACAATCAGTGCACTGGAGAAGCCTCTTGGTTTAGGAGCCCCTTTGAAGAAGTCGTGAACCGCCTCCAGTAGCTCATTTTGAATAACTGGCCAACAGGCTTGGTAGAAGCCTGCGCCAAAGCCGTCCGGTCCCGGTGCACTATCTTTTGACATCGAGAACACCACCTCTTTTACTTCCTGTAGCGTTGGCAACTGTTGGAGCTTCATATTGTCCTCACAAGTCAGGGAGGGGAGCGAGAATTCCAAGCTTGGAGCAGCCCAGCCCTCCCGTTCCGTCCGGAACAACTTCGCATAGAACTGCTCTGCCGAAGCTTTGATCTCCTCCTCGTCCTCTAGCCAACAGCCCGCATCATCCTTGATCCTTGATATAAAATTAACACTTCGCCACTACTTAACGAACGAGTGAAAGAATTTTGTATTGGCTTCGCCCTACTGAATCCATTTAAGTGCCGATTTTTGCTTCCAGTACTCACACTCTACGCCTAATGCCTGTGCATACCTTGCCCGAGCCTCCCCCAGGTTCAACCTAGATAAGTCATCACGAGCCGCGTCAAACTCCTCCTGCCGCTGTCGTAAGTTTTCCTCAGCATCTTGCCCGAGCCTCCTGCCCTAGGTTCTTATGTTGATTCTTCATTTATAATTACTTCATCTAAAGTATTTATTCTAGGAGTACTTATTGTTAGTGATTGTAAAGTTTGAGATATTCTACCTAAAATTGTATCTGTTGAATTAACATTTTGTACTAATTCTTGTTCTCTTTCTCTTGGAAGGCTTCTTGGTAGAAAATGAGGAGCTGAAATATCATTTGGGAGTCTAGAAGTTGGTCTTTGTATACTATCAATTTTTGTAGTTACTATTTCTATATGTTGTGATATTGTATGAAGTATTTGATTTGCATAGTTATTCTGTTGATATAATTTTTTAATATCTTCTATACTTACATTATTATTAGTACTTGTTTTAGCTTCTCTTCCTTTTTAAAAAGGTGATGCTGTTATTTCTCCTTGTCCTATGTTTATTTTAATTTCTTGTAACGGAGGATGTATTGATGTAACTATTTGATCATCTTTTAATTTCCGTTTTTATGTAAATTTGTTTGTACATTTATTTGAGGTGTATTATATACATCATTTATTCCTATTTTTGAAATATAGAATGATAGCCAAGTAAAGAAGGGAAAATCAAATTTTCTTATTTCTAATTCCTTTTTCCATTCTATTATTAATTTTTCTTTACAATCGGGTAATAATTGAAAAAGGAAAAATCGTTCAAAACGTCCCTCACATTTTGTAAAATGACTTTTTTCGTCCCTCACTTTTAAAAATATACTTTTACATCCCTTACAAATTCACATTAATCAAATTTGATCCTTATCTAGGTTTCTGACTAGTTTTTTGTCGGAATCCACCACGTGCCTTGCACGTGACCATTTTTGAAGAGTAAAATTGTTACATCAAAATTTACATCATCCAATCCATAGTCTCTCACATTTCACAAAATGAATTTTTTCGTCCCTCATTATTCATGTGTATGAATAAATTTTTTTTAAACTAATGTATATATCGATTTGATCTCACATAAATAATACGAATAGCATGTAATACATTTCTATTTGATTTCTCTTGAACGTACTGTTCATGTGAAATTAAAATAGATATATACAGGGGTTTAAAAAAAATTATTAGTTTTTCACTCATGTTCATTTCTTTTACTTGAAAATTGAAAAAAAAAAGAAGACATTTAATTCTAAACATTATCAAGTGTTTATATCGAATTAAATTTAGACAGAAAAAAAAATAAATAAAGGAAAAGTATGACAAAAAGAAGTAAGTAATTGACACTTTCAAATTTTAAAATAATCATAAGGCAAGAAATTCAACTGTTGGTTTTAAAAATAGCGAATAAAAATTTCAAATTTAAACTGCAATTTGTAGCATGACTATAGAATTCGAATTAACACCTATTAATTAGATACTCTTATTAAAAAACTCAATAAATGAATTATTACTAAAATAGAAAAGACTACAGATATTGAATAGATTCATATGGTGAAGTCACATATATATAGGTTTAAAAAAAATTATTAGATTTAAACCCATGTATATATCGATCTGTTTAGGTGAAATCAAATAGAGATATATTACATATTATTTGTACTGTTTAGATGAAATCAAATAGATATATACATGAATTAAAAAAACATTCGTAAACGTGGTCAATGAGAGATAAAAAAATTTATTTTGTGAAATGTGAGGGATGAAACAATTCATTCTGTGAAATGTAAGGGACTATAGATGGATTATGTAAATTTTGATTTGACAATTTTGCCCCTAATAAATAATCACATGCAAGGCATGTGATGAATTCCGGCCAAAAACTAGTCAGAAACCTAGATAGGGACAAAATTTGACCAATGTAAATTTGTAAGGGACGTAAAAGTACACTTTTAAAAGTAAGGGATGAAAAAAGTCATTTTACAAAATGTGAGGGACGTTTTGAATGATTTTCCCATTGAAAAAACCAAATTCTTTTTTCTATATTTTCTTCATCATCAAAATCTTCCTGTAAATATTTATAATTTATTTGAAAATTACCTTTATTTATTACATTTATTTCTGCTTTCATCTGTGAATGTGTTTGTGAATATTTAGATTGATTTTCATTTATTACCTCTGGAACTGGGGTTTTAAACTTGAAGGTTGAATTTGTTTCTATGGGAGAACTAAAGCCAATAGACTCATAACTAGATCTTTTGGCTGGTAACTAGGAATGGCTTGAGGTTAACTGTCTTTCTCTGAAAGAGGGAAATTTTAATAAAATTTTTTGCATCATGGTCTTCTATCATTTCTTCTACTTCTGTTCTTTCTAAATTTCTGGGACTTGTGGATTTTGTATTTGAAATTCAATAGGTACTGTATTTCGTTCCATTTTAATCTCTTTGGTGTGTATATAGTTGGTCTATCTGCTTCTACTTGCAATATAGTGGTTTCATCTTTTAAAGTTGGAGTCATTATAAATTTTGGATTTAATTGTGAAGACAATGGTCTATAATACATTCTATAAATTACAGCAAAATTTTTTGTATGTCTTTCAAATTCATCTCCTTGTAAATGAATATCTAAAACTATAGAATTCAAAACATGTGGATCAGTTATATCTACTGAGAAATCAGCGGTGCAAGTGAAATAAATTGGTCCATTACATACATTTGTTTGAATCATAGCTAGTAATGAAGTCTTATATCTTTTTAACCTCTTATCTCTTAATGCGAGATAAATTGGAGCATCTACCCCTAAATGAACTAATGGTTTGACTGCTACTTGAATTAATCCAAAGTGAATATATCTATAACCTTTACTTAAATATTTTTGAATAGTAGTATGATTCAACAATGGAATTGTTTGAAATTCTTCTTGTATAGATATGGTTTCTTCATGTGTTTTAACAAATAAAGCTGTTTTGAGATCTAGAGTTCCTATCCCATAAATATGTTCTATTTTTTCTTCAGGAATAGTTCAATCTGAATTGTTTATAGGCATATGATATTCATGACTCTGTACTATGTGTGATTGTTTTGAACTAGATCCTATCTTTAATTGTCTAAAGAATGCAGCCATGTTTAATATCATTTATCCTAATGGGAACAATCGAGCCTATGCGTGGAATATCCTATCCTGGACTTGCCAACCGTCTTACTAAGCTTCAAAATCTTACCAACACTAAGATAGACTTATGATATTAAACATGAATGTATTATTTAAAAATTAAATAGTTGGAAACAGTTCAAAATAACAACAGGGTACTTAAGGGCTTATTTATTCATAAATTATATTTTCTATCTATTCTCATCTAGGATAATTTGTACATTTTGTAATTAATCAAAAATCTGGTCCACATTGAATAAACCAAGACAAGATTATGGAATTTTTAAACTTCCATTTTCTATAAATTGGAGAATGTTAACTATTACATGGTCTATGGTTAATTTTTCGAAACTAGTTTAGTATTGTGACAAATCCATGTTGAACATTTAGCTGATTTGAGCCCTATGTAAAAAAGAAAACCTAGTATTATTTATTTTGTTCATCTTACAAAAGAAAGTTTTCTTTTTGAATTATTGGTAAAAAGAGAATTCCTAATGAAAGGCTTTTATGAGGTCTAATATTTGTAATTAACATTTAAATTGAAAGGGATTTATTGTTCTAACTATATGGGAAAGACATCTATAGTTCAAGTATTTAAAACCAATCATTTGATCTGTTTTTGATGAACTAATTTTTTACCGAAAAAGAAACTAATTTTTTTCAAAAGGGAATGATATGCTATCTTTAAAATTGAATCAATAAAATAGTAGCTAACTAAAAACTGGAAAAAAAATAGAAAAAAAAACAATTCATGTTTTTTTCAAACATTTTCTACGTAAAGTGTATTTTGATCGATACCTTTATTTGGTATTCTTTCTTATTTAATTCTATATCTTGTTCCATAAAAGAGTAGTTTTGACATTAAGATTACTATTGGTACGCTAGGAACAAATGTTTTTGCTTTTGTGTGGGGCAACGGCTATAATTCTAAGGGTGTGTCATTAAGTTCATGCAATTTAGAGAAAAAAAAATCCTTATTGAAAAGAAAATCAAAGAGAAGTTATAGGAGTTTTTTATGGATCTAAACAACATAACAAAATATTACTTCCATAGTGAGGGCTTTTTGGCGCACAAAAAA